CTGGATTTTTTTTTCTCATTTTGTCTCTCATAGTTGAGGTATACCTATGATGAAAATTACAGGCCTCTCTCATCTTTTTAAGTGGGAGAACTTGCACAATTGGTGGCTGACTAAATACTTTTTTTCCCCACTGTATATATATATATTACTGATAGATAGAATTGAGACATACCTCACAAGTGTAGCCTGTTATCCACTTGGAAGGGCCTCTTGTAGGGTTTCTGCACTGTAATATACATGTATCTTGGTTAATTTCAAATTGGTCAGAAGGGGGTGCAAATGTAATGGTGGGCTGGAGGAAATTCCCAGTACCTTTCAGAGAAAACGCCAAAGTTCTCCAGAAGAATAAGAGTCCACCATCTCCGTATGATTATACATTTTTTGCAACCAATTATTGGTGTGATTGGTTGTTAAATAAGGAACAAGGAAGGTTTTTTTTGTGCCATTTACAGGGAGAATATTCTTATTTTTTTGTTGTTTTCCAGTACATCTTGTCTTGGGAGCACCCTTTGATTTTATATCTGTAAGTAGTTATCCATGCATATAGCAGAGGGAATTAAAGCAAACTATTTATTTTTATGAAGAATAAATGTCTTCAAAACGTCACCGCAAGGCCCATTTACAACATGCATCCGAAAATCATTCGAAACATTCACAGACAAAAGTTGTATACTATAAAGTATGACAAGAAATTCAAGCTTCAATATAAGATAATAAAGCCAAGCACACATTAAGTACTTAGCAGATAAATGCTTAACGTAATATATATGATAATTATTAAACACATTACAGACTACTCACCGTGCTCTCTCGTTGTCAATAACTCCGCCCCTCACTTCTGGTTCTGTGGCTGCGGTTCTGAAACTGCTGGTGCTGCAGGTATGCAGCTCGATATATCTTATGTAACCAGGTTTTAAGTTTTGTAATATTTGTATATTTATCTATACTGTTTACACTAACATGCAAAAGTTTAGGGTCGGTAAGGTTTTTAAAGAAGTTATGCTCATCAAGACTGTACTTATGGATCAAAAATACAATGAAAACAGTAATATTATCACATATTATTGTAATTCAAAATAACAGTTTCTACTTTAATATATGAAAAAATTTAATATATTAAAAAATATATACTGTATATATTTCTGTGATGATAAAACTGAATTTTCAGTCATTACTCCAGTCTTCAGTGTCACATGATCTTTTAGAATTCATTCCAAATATACAATATGATATGCTGCTCAAGAAACATTTAATATCAATATTGAAATCAGTTGTGGAAATCTATTTCTTTCGTTTATTTCAAAATAGAAACATTTTGTAACATTATAAATGGGGTAGTGTACATGTTATGTTTCTCTGAATTTTTTCCCTTCTCGGTCTGAGCTGAGGTAGAAGAGACATTTGGGGCAAGTGATTTATTTAGCCCACGTGTGTTCCTCTTTTCCTGGTGTGTGCATGCACCATCACAGAGATGCATCACCTGCTTCCATGGCTGCTGTGTTTCAGCTCTCCATCCTATTGCTATTGCTATAAACGCCTCTATTTCTGTGGCAGTGTGGTGAATCATTCTAGCAGGTTATGAGGGGAGGGCTGCAAGACTGAGCGGTTGTCAAGAACACTTCTCTTCTTGGAGGAGAATATATTTAGAAAGTAGTGACGTTGTCAAGGAGCTGTGTGTGAAGTGGGAATCACAGTTACGATGATTTCTGTGTTACCATGGAATGTTTTCTCATAAACTCTCATAAAAATGTCTGGCAGCCCTTAAGGGCAGCCATCACATAGGAAAGAAAAACGACTAATGAGATCTCCTTAATAACTCAGTTGTTTCTTATAGATGTGAGTGAGATCCAATGGAAATGAAAAAGAAAACCTAATTATCTGAGCTCTGCTGTTCAATTTCATTTGATTGATTTAGACAGACTGTGTGTTAACAATGGTCTGTTGTTTTGTTTAGGGAATGTTAGACCAGAACATTTGAAACCATCAAGTCATGAAATAGCAGCCTGTGAGAAATACAGTATTTACTGTTAACAGCTACAGCTACGCTTGACCAAGGTGTTTGAAGGCAAATCATCTTGAGTAAGCAAGTCTTGTCACATGTCAGCAGTATGTCAGGGATCAGTCTTTTTCACCTGGACAGCTGTCCATCATCAAAAAGACTTGCTGACAGCGACGACACGTCCTGACAGCAGCTGTACTAGTGCTTCATCTGTGGGAGGTGAAGCTGACCACTGATAATACGCACATCCTCTCATTTATTTATAGTAAGGTACCATGCTGAACATGTGATCGTCCTCCTCATCAAGGTGACTTTGTGGTTACCGTTCTCACTAATGTCCTTATTTTTCAGGTGAAGAAGTTTGCCAAGTACCTGGATCCCAATGCTCATGGCAGAATTAACTTCAAAGATTTCTGTCATGGAGTGTTTGCAATCAAAGGTAAGAGGACGGTTCTTCTCCAAGCAGTATTTCATGCCCATAAATACCACTGATGAATCTGTTTGCATTTGATTAAAGGGATTCTAAGAACATCAGGGTAAAAATCTCTGAAATATGACTGCAAAAATACAGTTTAAAAAAACGTGTCGCTACACTACAAAAGTACTGTCATATTCTTATGTAAAAAAGAGATTTTTTTTATCAAAAATGTATTTTATTGAAAATTAGGGATGTAACGATTAACCGCGAGCCGGTTGAAAATCGATTCAAATATGTGACGATTCAAATCGGTTGAGATGCTAAACAAATCGCGATTAATTTAGACCAGTGGTTCTCAACCTTTTTTTCCACCGGGCCGCACTATGGTCCAAGTGCAAGTCTCGTGGGCCGCACGCATATCATTTACATATTACGCCAGCAATACAACCCAACCTGATTTATAATATTATATCCTAAATATTATGATATCTAATCGTTTACATTCATTGAAATAAATAAATAATTATACTCCCCATAAATAACACCCAATTTTGTGAACTTCGGCTTGAAAGGAGTAACAAGTCGTGATGATTTGAGAAGGCTAAATTGATCAAACATATGCTCACTGTCTGCCGCTGGCCACTTGGTCGTTACTTTAAATGCGTAACGTTAATTAGGCTATGTGAGTACTGCTCATGACTGAAAATAATATATGAAAAACAAAATTATTTTACATAAAAACATTAGGCTATAGCTTATATTTATTTAGTAAATTTTTTAATTAATGTAAAATCTAAAATGAATTGTAAAACTGAAAGTATTTTCTTTTTAATTGTGTTCAGCACGGTGGGCCGCATTTGAATTCGTGACGGCCGCATGCGGGCCGCGGGCCACGGGTTGAGAACCACTGATTTAGATGTAGGAGTTTATTTGAAAGTATGTCTGAAAGGAACTTACTGTCTTTAGAAAAGTTTAGATGGTATTTTTTCTTTTTATCTTGCCTAGTATATTATTATAGTGTTATATTTCAATTTCACAAAGAAACATGCAGAATTTTGTCCAAGCAATAATAAAAGGACACATTTAATTTATAATTTGTCTTAAATCTCATTTTGTAAAAAAAATAAATAAATCGTGAATCGAATCGAATCGTGAAATCAAAATCGTGAATCGAATCGAATCGAATCATGAGTTGAGTGAATCGTTACGTCCCTATTGAAAATCAAATTTATTGTGTATACCTTACCTCGGGTTTCACAAACTGGAATTTGTGACAGAACTGCAGTTGGTGCATGAGATGATGAAAAGCTAATAATTAATTAAAACATAAAAACCTAAAATTAAAATAATTTAAAAATACCAAACAATAAAAATAAAACAATCAAAATATTTTATATGTTTAACTGCATGTCATTTGATCACTAACCAATATTAGAGAATCATGAATGTGCAAATATAAACCTAAAATCTTTGGTAGTACTTCAAATAAATATTTTATTTTGGCTGTGAAAATATTGCCTCACCCCATTGAAAAATTGTTTAATAATAATAATAATAATAGTTTAAGAAAATTAACTTGCATATTTATTACTAGTTTAGTAAAAAATATTCAAATTTGCTTATCAAGTGAATGTCTGATTTTAGCAGGACAAAAATACTGATTATGAAATTAATTTTTATATATACTATACCTTCCTTTAATGCTCTAAATGTTCATACTGTGGCATCAAATACAGAGCACATCTCTTCTGTTCTGTCACACACAGCTTTTAGTTCAGCACAAAGTGTGCCAAACTGAAAGGCTCTCCAGAGATAAAAGCTTAGTTGCTAGACACCATGTTCCTTTCGACAGACATGATGTCCCTGAATTAAAAAGAGCATGTTGTGCATCATTCCAGACATTTATGCAATTTTATCTCCAGACTAGTATTATCACTTTATTTTATTAAACAATTCATCAGAAGAACCCAAAGGCAGATAATGGCACACAGCTCTGTCTTTTTAGCATTCTGCATTGACTTCGGTGTCTGGTGAAAATCTAGAAATGCAATGGATAATGAATAGCCTGAGTGAGCAGAATCTGATTAGAGATCTCTTCTTCACCGCTGATCTCCCTAATTGAAAATAACCACATTTGAACAACAAATTACGAGCATCTCTGGGTGTGCCTTTAATTAACCGTTTATCAGATTGAAACATTTTCCCATTTAACGACAGCATAGTAATTCACTTGTTAGCGTGGGTTGTGCTTCTCAGTTAAAAGACGGGGGGGATGTTATTCCTGATTATAGTGTTAAGCATCACTGTGAGATTTTCTTAGGTATTCACAGACAATGTTACTGCGTAATCATGGTTCAGCAATCTAATTTCACATTATTTGTAGCTGCTTTATGACACTTATTGCCTTGTCTAGCTCGTCCCTATTTCACTGTCATTAAGAGCGCAGTAAACAGGGTTACATTTGTCAGCCAGGGACACTCACGCTGCTTGGCAGACTTATGCAGCAGAGATCTGCCAGCAGGCACGGGGACCCGGGTGGGACGTCTCTGTGCCAGCGCTCTATGGAAGCGGCTGAAGAGGGAGACACAGGCAGGCCAAATGGGCTCCAGGCCCAGAGACTTTGTCCCCCAGTGTCCTGTGTTTAATGAGCCCCAGTGGTCTTCCCACTCACTCTTTCCCTAATGAATCCCACAATCCCTGTTCCCCGGCACGCACAGCAAGTCTACAAAGCCAAAGCCTATGTGTGTCCTTTTGAGGTCCCAGAGTAAGACTGTGTTGTTGTGTGTGGTGTGGGATTGTTAGCACACTTTCTCCATTGGTCTATCTTTGCTCTTATATAACAGGCGTATTGTGCACAGCTTTATATATTTATGTATTGCCCACAATATGTTCCCATTCGGGACATTCCCGGAGCCAAGGCGAGCTGTGGCCCACTTGAGATGTCGCACAGAGCACTGAGCCTTCACTACACTTTGTGTTATGTGACTATAAATGGATCCGAGGCCTGGGCTGCCCTTCGCTGCGCCTCTCAGTTTGTTATTTATTCATGACATTTTACTTAGCTTGTTGTATTTCTGCAGATGGGTTTGTGTGTTTGAGAAACAATATAGCCATATATTTAAGAGAACAGTTCCTCTTTCCAACATGATATCTTGTGCTAAACTTTAGTTTTTATCAAAACGTGGATCTTGAAGGGATTTTTTTTTCTGGAGCTCATAAGTGGAGCAAAGAATCTCTCAATTTTACAGAGGGTGTAGTTTAATAATTCATGCCTGGTTTGAGAAAACACAACATGTCGTCAAACAGAGAAAGGAAATTTAAAGTGACAGAAGCTGATTTATACATACAGTACAATAGCCATAGTGTCTAAGTGAGAAAGCCGCATTTCTTGAATTAGTCAGTGTATATCTGAGAAGCATCTTTTCTCTAATGAAAAATAAATAGATAAATGAAAATCCTTCTAAACTAATATAGGAGTGGTGATGCAAACTTAATCAATAGCCATCTTGTTTTAGGTCTATTAACTCATTTTTATAATACACAGATCATTTTTATAATATACAGGCATCTGAAATCGATATTTCATGTCCACATATTTATTGATTTGCAGAGTAGTCATGGAATTTTTGATAATAACTGGACATCCTCTCTTTCTTGTCTGTGCTTTATGAGACGTGTCTTGACAGGACTAATATTTTTCTTTTTGTGATTCAGGCTGTGAGGAGATCCTGAAATCAGCACTTGGGACCCCCAACATCAGTGCACAACCATACCAGACGGACAATGGCTACTACTATCAGGTGGGCAGATTTCTAAATACGTTTGGCTAGTTGATGCTGTTGTCTTTTCTTTCCCACATGACGTGTCTAATTATATCGTTGACCCCCCCAAAAAACCCAAGACACTAAGTCCGCATAGCTGAACACACTGCTTGTTTGTCATTGTGTACATGCACCTAATTGCACCCTATTTAATTAATGGCCATTGACCATAATATTGAGGATCTCTGAGTTACAAGAACTATCGTCTCTATTGCTGTTACACGCTCACATGATATTGCTGTACTATGTGGTCACGAAAACTTAGCGTTTTCACATGTTTTAAGCATTGGTGTTTAAAATGAAGTGATTTAGGCCCTTAAAGCAATCAACAGCAAAAGATAACTCATTTTGCTATATGCGCGCGCTGTTTCTGAGCGCTCTTAGAGAGGCGTGCACATGTGAAGACGTGCTCATAGAGTGCGGGAGTATTGAACATTTCAGTTATTTTTGCCGCTTTATAGACCTTGAATGGTTACACACATTTGTATTTGTCAAAATGCCTATCTTTGCAAGTATCCTTGTAAACACAATAATTTAGGTCTTAAGTGAAAGCAAACAGCAGAGACATGTGTTATGTTGGATCTGGGCAGCTCTTAAAGTGACAGCAGTCTAAAATTCTTGCTGTCTGTCATTCATGTTACTCAAACAACAAATGAGAGAAAATCTCTCACTGCTCTTGACTAACGTTAATAAGAAGATATATATATTTAATTTACTCAGTGAAAAATATGCACTGTTTTTATACAATTGATTACTTTATACAATGTATGTAGCATTTCTTATTTATTTGAGGAGTTCATTTACAAAAACTTCTTAACAATTTTCAAAAATCATGTTTTTTCATTGTACATTGCAATGAATCTCAATCAAACTGCAGTTGGCTTATTTTGATTAGGTTAAAAATTACAAAATAATACAGCTAACTAACACAATAAAAACATGATAACATAATAAAAAACATGACTTTTGAAAATTTAAAAAATGGAGTTATCTGTTTTTGCAAATAAATTCTTCATTTGTTCTACTGTAGTTTTTTTTGTCCTGTTGCTTGTAATTAGTTTCTTATTCTTATTTAATCGCTGACTGTTTACTTGTCATTAGTGAGCCTTTCTTTTTTCTTTTTTTAAATTTAGGCTAGTATTAGTCTTTTGTGATATTGACACTGAAGACAAGAATTGTGAAATTTCTATGGTATCAAAATTTTTGATATCATAAAGACCTTATTTAAAGCAAAAATAACTTTATCATGATATATATCATTACTGTGAAATAAAATTACTAATATCATGAAATAAGATTTTGGTTATATCGCCCACCCCTGCTAGAACTCTAAAAGTTGTCGAGAGATGACTATATGGTTGAAAAGTTTAGTGTATGTGTTAGCACAGAGAAATGCTTTTCCAGCGGAAATAGCATCAATAATATAGAAGAAAGTGTTTTTGTGTTTGACTGAGTTTTGCCCTGTTTGTGAAAAGAATAACTATCATGTATTGTAGCACTGACTTGGCTAAGTTCGGCTTGAACCAGGCTAATATATTCGTTTGTACAAGTTTTGATTCACTTTACTGGGGGACATGCACTCCTGCTTGTTCTTATCGTGTTCATTTGCACCATATGGAGGCAGTTAAAACCCAACAGCAAGCCAGAAACTATAAGCACTTCTGTTGGCAGTGTGTCTAGATGCATTAGGACACTTAACGGGGAGAGGCATCTATTGTTCTCTGATATAACAGGGAACAACCTTCTTTTCGTCCATACAGATTCAGTGCTTGGCTTGTGTGAACTTGATAGATGAGAGTAAGTGGAGCCAAAATGCATCCCCAGCATGTCAGCTCTCACTCACATATACACAGCAATCCATACTGCCACTGTTTCACAGGCTAGTGCTTGAGTTACAGTTTAAGCCTAGTAAAGTTTTAATGGCTGCCGTCAACATGCTGTATATGACTCAATGGAGCTGTCAGTCAAACAGCCAGAGTAGAGGGGAATCCTGACATCCATAGACACGTACTGTACACAAAGACATTTAGATGTATTATTATGTGATTAATCACACACTTTGTTTATATTAGAGCTTTTAAAGACCTTTTGATATCAAAATCCGAATGCATGTGTATAGGCTATGAGGTCGTTCATTTTTGGGTGAATTTTAATTTTTGGGTGAACTACCCTTTATTAATACCTGAGTGTATTGCTAGTAAGCAGACAACAAACAAAACTGTAACTGTGCCAGTGTCTTCATTTTTTCCTTTTCATCCATCTTACAAGCTGTAAGGTGTTTTTTTGCTGGACTTTGATATAAAACGTTTCTTGCTCTTTTTAATGAACAAACATTTAAATTTAGTAGTAACGCCTAGTAAATTACTCAATTTATAGATTTCCTCATTATAGTAAACATCACATGGTAAGCACAAGGCCTGTTTCTAATATTAAACAGGTTATAATTATAAAACAGGTTATTGTAACAGTGTTTCATCATCACTAGGTGGCAGTGTTTTGAAAGAAAACCGATGACTTTAGCTCAAGACAGACATAAAAAATGCTTTTATAAGCAATACAGCAACGCTTTGGAGATAATATTATATGTATGTGAAAAGCAAGGATTAGAATTCTGCTCAGAAATGGCATTATGCAGATGTATTGCTTAACATATGGCATACTGATCTGATATCATTTGTATTATGCATCATCGGTTGTAATCTAAAATAGCTCATTAATCATTACAGTAATGAATGGAAAATTGTAAGAATTTTATCAGTCAGACAGTACATTTCAGAGTAAAGCTGGTTCATCATGTGAATATTAAACACTGCAGCAGCAGCAGTAGTGAACAAACCTCCTCTGCAGTATGATAAAGACACATTCATTGACACTAGGAATGTAATAATGAGCTTCATAACCATATTGCCATTTATTTTAAGACACACTGCTTACATAGTAGCTCTCATATAAAAACCTGGAAGAGAAATATGAACAAATCTAGAAGTTTATAGCCAAAAAAAGAATTTTATAGTGCTGCTAAAATAAGTTTGATCAGTTCCCAGCCTGAGCAGACTGTTGTAGTACATTATTAAATTTAGTGTCGTTTATACCTGATCATTTGCTTAAGGGAAAATCCAGTTTTCCAACAGTTACAGGAAATGTTATGTGTTTCCACTCAAACTGAAAAAGGGTGGTGCAGGTATTAGGAATATTTCCAGGGTAGTACAGTTTTTTTGTTGTTTATTTTGTTTTAAATTGTTGGACTGCTGTCATGCGAGGATGTGCAAATGAAGTCTGTGCCGTCTACTGCATTGCTCTTTCTGTGCTCTGCTGCAAGCGGTTCTATTAGCACTTCAAATGAACACTGGACTGAAGCTCTGCATTGATCTTCTGCAGAGCAGTTTTCTTTCTCTCCCTCTCCTTCTTTCCCTCTCTCTCTCTCTTTCCAAAAACAAAAACTATTGAAATGTTAATTTTCTCTGACGGTTAACACGACACTATAAGATAAAATATCTGTGAATGACACTAATATTTCCATCACATGTGTTTCATAGAAATTTAGGCTATTCTAACTAAACTAAGATGCAATTAAGCTGCCATTTGCTAATATTGTGTCATTTCTGTCTCTTCGCTGGTCAGGTAGCACAGTCATTGCAAGTCTTTCTGATCACAGCAGTGTAGTGTGATTGCTGTCACAAAGAGTCACTGTCATACTGACACATCAATGTCTTAACAGTGTGTGTGTTTTGTTGTGTAGATCATTGTGCACACACAGCGTGTTTTAGAGATTAAGGTTACAGACAGCTGATCAGATTGACCAAGCATATTACCTCTCATGTACAGGACCTGCTTGAGAGCAGTTAATGGCTTACTTGGTCTGTTAATGCTACTTATGTGAATACTATATCCTCCACTGACACTACGAACATACTCTTTACTCATACTTTTCTCTTTGGTAACCAAGTACACTAACGTTTGATAAAACTATTACTGGAAAAATGGTTGTTTGTGGTGAAAATTACACTACAAAATAAGCCAAAGTCGTAATTTGTGGGAAGTGTATGTAATTCATTTTCACACCGTAGATATTGAAATGTTTTGTGTGGTAACACTTTACAATAAGGTTCCATTTATTAACTATATTTAATGCATTAACTGACATTAACTAACAATGACCAATACATTTGTTACAGTTTTAATTATAACAAAGGTGCTATGTTTTAGTAAAAAAAAAAAAATCACAATCTGAGACTAAAATACTTCTATAGTTGAGTTTCTATAGTATGTGCGTGTACGTGTTCGGTACAGATCACTCGTGATTGAGTTTGAACACAGAGATGTTTCTTCTGAGTGACTGCTGCTGAATGATAGTTGAGTCAGAGCACTAATGAGCCTGTCACATCGATTACACTGATGGATAACCACAGAGAGAGCGACTAGAAGAACATGTGTTGAGGTGGTTGTCCCTTGTGAGCTCATTTTACTAAAGATATTAATAATCTCTTTTGTTGTTGACATCTAAGGAATATAAAGTAGACAAAATTTTTCTTTTCTTTTCTTATTGTCTTGTAGTCTCAGCTTTCTGCCTGTAATATCAGTGTCTGTACACAATGTCTTGTCGTTTTATATTACCGTAAAGGAAGGTGAATTTTTGGTTAGACTAAGCTGAATCTGTAGAGAAGAGACTTTACTGCTGGTAATTGGGAAAGTCAAGACTGAATGTCCTTGGCTGTCATTGAGAATGAGAGATTGAAGGGTTCAGTGGTGGAGGGAGCAGAAAATGCTCCAGACACACATCTGTCTCTGTGCAGCATTCATCAGTTTTGCTCTATTGTCTATCTCAGGTCACACCAACTCTAGTGTACATCAGGAGATTTCAAATAATGGATTATACAGTACTAAAGACTCAATGATGAGACTTTTGTTTTTGTGATTTATAACCATTCAAAAGTTTGGGGTCGGTAAGATATATTTTAAAAATACAGTAAAAAACTGTA